CCTGACTGGGATGCTTGATATGGTGGAATTGAGAATGGTGGGAAGTTTAAATCATATACTGTGCATGTGCACCCAGCCTTCGAGAGCAGATGCACATGACATAGGCACTAGCAAACAACACTATTCTCACTCCTAGACTCCTAGACCTGTTCACTGGCCTAGACTCGGTTGAATACCCATTTTCTCCGTGGTATTCGTTTGGCATAGCAGCTCTTGGATTCCCACTCCATGCCCACAGACCTTGTTCAAAGCCATCGGCAGCCTAGGCGGGCTGAGTCTGTGGAGTGTTCCGCAAATCACGGGGGCTAGAGTCTAGAGCACAAGTGGCAGGTGCTTTTTGGATGACTACATATGGCAACTGAGATGAGATTGTATGCGCATCAAACGCCTATAATTTTGGAGCAAGACCATCCAAGGGGTCGCCAAAATACATATATATATATATGCTTTAATTAATGGGGTGTGTTTGAGGCTTACTTCTACTTGGAGACAACCGGTGACATTGCAATTTGCCAAAGACATCCAAAGATTATTTTGCACCAAAGAAACCAATTGCGAATATGAGCCTATGGTTACTTTTGTTTTGGCACTTGGACCTTCTGAGATGCTTCAATTGCTGCAGGAGGTTGAACATTGGCAAAACGCTTGCGAGGTTGCAGTTGGTGTTCCACCCACTTCGTTGATCCACCCACCTTCTGCTACACCCCACCCCTTCCGCGTTTCTTCCGCCTTCGCCAGCTCGGAGCATGCGGGACAAGACGGAGAGTGTGCAGGCGCCGATCCGGGATGACATGAAGAGCTTTTGTTGGTGACGAACCAGGGAACCAGGAGGGTTGCCGACATGATCTGACGAGAGACACCCAGCAAATCCCAAACCATTGCCATGTGAACCCAGCTATGGGGGTCAAAGGTTGCTGGTTTTGGCGGCTTCGTGGTAGGTGCCAACTTAAGTAATACTCGAAAGATCTCGAAAGCATGGTAGTGGATAACCATTCTCAGTTTTAGACTGGCCATTATATGCAACTATTCTGTTGATGTGACGTTCACCTCAAATATTCACAGACTACGCATGGATCAAAGGAGTGCTCAATTCTAACACTTGATAGTACAAACAAAGCCCCAAAGTCCTTCTCGTGGCTTAAGATCGTTGCCTTCGCTTGACCGCCACACGCAGGAACAGCTCAAGCGGATTCTAACAGAGCATTCCGAAAGCCCGGAAACTTGGGAGCACCATGGAGCACCATCGGTTTGTGATTTAGATGTCATTCGAACCATATTGAACCTTAAGATATGCGAAAGAAGGAACCAATAGCTAGAGCTATGGGCACGCGAGTGTTCTTTAGATACTGAGTCGACGAAAATATGAGATCACAAGATTTCCCACCCAACAATCCAGGATGCGTTAAGGGTGTCCAGCGATGCCAAGGCGCCAAGGTCGCGGGGCACAGCACACCCAAGCAGCCGCTGGGGAACCCGTCCTGTGCGGGACGGTCTCGGGATGCAGATAGTTTTCACCGTTCTGTGCATAAAAATATATACCCTAGGGATGCAAGTACCTTCTCAGAAGGTAATTGGACCCTCCATAACAGTGTCTCCAAACACCTTCTCAGAAGGTGATATGTATATATATGGAAATATATGCATGATATGCATGGAGATATATATAAATATAGTCCCACCACTGGTTTGGTTTTCCATGAGGGGCTCCAAAAGTTGTCCATTTAGACTAGCACCGTTCAGATTGAGTCGATGGACATTCACTTGTTGCTCGGGTGGTCCAGCAGTTTTGTGATTTTCCATGTTGGAGGCTATCAATGCAGAATGATGGACACATCCTGTCTATGTTAACGTTGTTGCATTTGAATTATTATTCACGATAAAGAGCATCGATCAACACTAATTCTGATTGAATTCGATCAATCACCTATTATATATGTGTGGGAGACTGTGTTCAGGCAAGCAAAAGACAAGGGGCTCCTTTTTTTTCTGCCCGCTATTGTACTTCTCCACTTCCACTTCCTGTGCATGTGGCTTCGATCAGGGGTTCAGGCTGAAACTCAACTTGCCCGACCATTTGAACATCCACAAGGTGTGTTGACGCGGGGTGCGCCACCTCCTCAATTCTTTGCATATGAAAGGAGGTCAAGCAAAGAATTTGGGACGCGACTAAAGCTACATTACATTAGTTCAACTCGTGTAAAGACCATTTTCGGATGTTCCCTCAACCACGTAAAAACAAAAAAACAACTCCAGTCTTTTTGTCGCAGCCACAACTGGTCACCCTCAGAAAGACCAATAGGATTGAACATAATCTGTTTACACGGGTAGTCATCACTAAACTCATTTGACATGTGGACTATCGTGGGAGGTGCTCCCCCTTTCGAAGTCAGTCTAGTTACTTCAATCTTGAGGGAACATGGCACTTGGAGGAGCGAAAGAACGCAGACCTGTGTTGACACTTTTGCCCTTTTGCACACTTGCCGCCACGCGTGACCCATTGTTGAAAAACATCAAGTTTGACCACTTCATCACTAAGAGATCAAACCTGAGCTTCCAGAGCCTGGTCCAAGCTTGCCTCACCATGTGGCGCCATCTCTCAGGTCCTCCTCTGCCATGCTTCAAGCGCCGGGACGCATGACGCAAGTGGCCCAAGTGGCTAGTGAGACTGAAGGCCAAATGCCTGGACCTCGCCGGCGGATCTCCATGTACTGATCCGGAGGGCTGCAGGCAGTACTGGCACAAAAAGGGATCTGTCGACTCAATCAAAGGCTCCAGGAGAGGAGCTTGGTCTAAAACACCTGGTGGTTTAAAACACCGTTCTTTCTCGTACAAAGAAAAGTCCGACATTTTCCGTTTGGTGCCAGTTTGCGTCTTGACTTTAGCTCCCTGTCGGGGTGCTTTCTAGTAGTTTTAGGCTTTTTGGTCCTTTAAGGCTTGGTGAACCTAGGGCATGTGGTAGAACGAACGCTTGCTGAACTCACTAGCTTTAAATTTGGTACGTCATCCAATCTGATGAGGTTGACTCGGAAGCCGCCAGTGGACAAACATGTAGCACAAAAGCATGAAAGTTGTGAAGGGTAGTTCATTGACCCTTCATTTGCTCTTGAACCAGAACGGTCTTTGGACCCAGATCCGCCTCAAGGGTGCCATAGACCCAGCATCTCGCCAGAGAAAGACCGAAGATGCGTCAGTCCTGGGGCCAGCATAAATCGGGCCGGCCCCGGGAAAGAACAAGTGAACGCGCCAGTCATGTCGTGGCATGACTGATCATTGGTGAACATCTCGTTGATCTGATCCACTGGAGTGTGCTCAATCATAATTGAAATGTCTATCATGGTAGGCGTGGTAGTTTTACATGTCTACCATGGTTTGCCAGGAGTACTGGGTGCTATGGCAGGCTTATGGGGTGAAGTACTTCTTTCGTGTCATGTCTTGAGCGCGACTCTATGTACAGATTATTCAAGGACGGAGTTTGGAACTGAAGGTGTTTTGCCAAGTTACGTCTGCGATGAGTGCTGTTTCAATGCCCACCTCGAATTTGTGCTGCAGTGGCAGGCGTTTTGAGTTTCTGGAGACTAGAGCCACTTCCACACTGGGATTGTTTTGCTTTCGTGCTTACATGTTCTTGCAAGACCTTTCCAAGGGGGATGAGGCTGCGAACACATGAAACTCTTCGTTTCTTTCAAGTCCCAGTTGTGCAGCTCAACAGGCATTTCTGCCAAGTGCCCTTTTGCAAGTGCCCTTTCTGAAGTGTGTATCTTAATAGGGAGGCACCCGACCAATGGCTTTTGGATGGTTTTTGGTGGGTCTTTGGGAGGTTCCTATTTTGACACACACCCATATATCAATTGTCGACCACGTTGATTAGTTGGACATATTTGAACCATATCATCATCCATATCCATCAGGTTCCTTTCTGCCCGTCACTTATCCATCATTGGTGCCTGGGGTCGCCCGTGCGTCTGAGTTGATCCCTGAACGACCCAAACTCCTCCGCTGTCGAACGCTGGACAAAGATGCCAGGTCGATGAACTCCAGGGTCCGTCCGGTGGAAATCACATGAGAACTCGCCTCCGAGATTTCGGACGTCGTGGAGGACAACGCGAGAACTCCAGGTTCCTGAGTTTGCAACCAACAGTCACATTTACATAGGGTTTGGTGGAACAAGGTTTGTAGGACCTGGAATATGTTATTGGCGATGTCTTCCCCAAATCTAACTACATGGTCCGCCGCGCATAGACGGCCAGGTGGTTTCGGGACTATATGGGACTATTTTTTGTGTGTCGAAGAAGTTGTTTTATTGAACTTACCTTGGGATTAGCATTTCGTTGGTTGTTAAGTTCTATTTTTTTTTCGCAGTTGCTTGCTTCCAAAAAACTACTTGGGTTAGTCAGGGTTGCATGCGCCGACGTAACAAATCAAGAAATAGAACGTGCTGCAAATACCACACGGAATTTGCAAAAACGTGCTCGAAATGATCCGGCCATTTTCGCACAGCAGGCCAGGCCAACTAATACTAGGTAGATGCAAGGCACATAATATGTTTTGTTGCCATTCGGCCCAATCACTGACAGCCCATCCCAGAAATCCAGCTACAAAGAGCTCCACAGGCCTCAGATTCGGTGGTTGGTCATTTTCAGCCACGTAGCGGCTCAACCTGGCCGGACACGGGTGGGACACGACGCCGCGGCTGGCCTCGCTGTGCGTCACCGTGCCACGCACGGGGAAGCACTGCCGCCAGCCGCTCCTTGGCCGCAAGGGCCTGGAAATGCTTCGGGTGAGACGCTTCTTGTGAGACGCTTCGCCTTTGAGGTTGAGACCTCTTAGAGTCTCCTATAGAGTCTTAGATCGTTCCAACAAACTGGAAGAAGACAGCCATGACATGCGGCCACCTGATACCACCTGCTTCACATTATTGCTTCAAGATGTTCAACCTTTCCAATTCACTTCGATCAGCCCGGTTGTCCACCTCCCAGCACCGGCCGTGCGCTCAGGCGGCCATGGCCCCCAACAAGGCCAGATGGGTCCGCGGCAAACGCACTGGCTCCAGTAGACGTGGAGTTGACCGCTGCATGTGCATCGGAGAAGGCTCATGAGATGTCATGCCAGTGTCACTTGGGATGTCCACGGATGTCCGGCTGATATTTTCGTAGGGTCACTTACGATGGTTTCTCAGTGCCAGCTTGGGCTTGACTGACTGAGTTGGTAGGATGATGTCAGTTTGATGGTTTTCAGCCGCGACCGGTTTCCTCGCGGTGCCTTCAACCTTCCAAGAACTGCCCCCACTCCCGAGCGTGGTTGGTCCTCACCCAGGACGAGAAGAACCTGGTGGAGAAGCTGCGAGCTTTTCAACGGAGTAATCAGGCACGGCACCGCTGGCACCGCAGGGGGGGGAACAGTGAAGTAGAAATCACCAGAAGCTGCAAGAGTTGAGACATCCGATGTCGTGACCATGTCATGGGCATCAGCGACCCTCCACAATTGGGATGTATCTTCTAGTCCAGTGAGATGTCCCATCCAACATCCAACCAGAAGAATGGGCTCTTGCAATTTGGTCGGCTACGTGGTGTTCAAGAAAGCTTTTGGTGCCGGGACGCTTGGGACTTGGAGAAGTCCGCCAGATGAGTCCAACGAGGGGTCCGCGTTTTTGTTGTTTTGTTTTCTTTGTTGCTCGGTGGGAAGACGGTTCGATTCATGAATCAAGGTTGGCAGGTTCACCCTGAGCTGTCCCCTATTGTTTGCTTACCCACTCTCCAATCACCAATCATGGAAGTGAATGGAAAGGCAATTTTAATACAAAAGCAGTCTTCCTTTGGTGGCCATGATGCACTTTCATTTTTGTTGGATGAAGGGTATGTGACATGTGTATGCGGCATTGCGTGTGTATGTGTATATATTTGTGTTCCCTTGTTCAAAGATTTTGGGATGTTTACAACTGGTTTGGTTTCCTTTGCATGCTGCATGGCAGATTTGGCGATGATGTCCACAATTTTTCTTGTGGCATCCTCCAACTCAAAACTCTATGGGACCCCTTGGTTCCTTGCGTCAGGCGAACAAAAGATGCGCAGACTGTCCAGAACGAGGGCCAACCTATGTTTGTAGGAACCTCAGACTGAGGCATGATGGCAGCTCGGCTTCCCAGGCGAAAGCCGCCTATCAGGGCCTTAGGGTCTTAAACAAATATGGGAGCGGCAGAGGCCAGTGGTCAGATAGTCCACTGGTTGTTGGTAAGATAGTTGGTGGTCCAATGGTTCAATGTGAGCGGTGGGTTCGTTTTTGGAGGCAAGTTCGACTCACTTTTGGCTGTTTGACCAGTTGCAAGCAAGTATGGACACAAGTCACCAGTCTTTTCAGTCGAGTCGGGGCTTAGTCTTAGTCGATTGGAGGTCCGACCTCCATTCGTCCGGCTTTCGGCGCCCTCGGTGGGAAGAACACATCGTCCAGACGTAGTGCCTTGAGGCCTCGATTTCCAGATCTTTATTTGCCAATCTTGCGGTGGAATTCATCGCGAGCTGCTGGGCCAGCACGGAGGGATGCCTGCAAGTTCATTTCGGGGAGGTGTTTTTTTTGCTAAAAGGGGTCATAGAAGTGGCAAAGCTTGTTGAGGCTCACTTCGTCAAAAAGGACTCCACTTCAACTGTATTGGGTGGTGGTTTGGTCCGAGCCGGAGGATGTTCATCAAGGTTGGCATGTCCACCCTGCAAGCATTCTGAACAAGTAGCTTCCCATGACTGGCACTGTATGACTGGCATGTTCATTCCCGACTGACATGTATGACCTGCTAAGACTCCTGTGAGATGTCAGTCCATTGACTGAGTGTGACTCCTCAATTGACAAACTGACCGTGAAGAGCTTGGATGCCCCATGGCGCCCGTGCGTGGGCTTGGCATTTTGAGGGAAACCTGCGAATGAACGACTGACTCATGTGGCGTCCATCGAGTGTGGCGTCGTTTGCCGCATGGAGGGCCATGCCACGGCCACACGTTCTCGGTCCAAACTGCGGTTTGGCCAAACTTGCCCACGCAGAGCCAAGGTTTGGCCACAAGATCAAGAGCATCTCCTTCTCTGAGTGGAGCCCCGCTGAGGTGGATCTGGAAAAGACCGGGAGACATGTTTAGGGCTTAATTAGCTGGGTGAGTGCATCCTGCATGGCTGCATGATGCATGTGTTGTTTCCTGATTTGTCTCAAGTGTTGTGCGATTTTTTTTAATGGGGACCCCGGTCCGGGACCCCCCCCAACAAAGCGCTTCGGCAAGCACAGAAGACCGATTTTCATCGACGAACTGGGCCAGCTGCACTGGCCACCGATCGGCAGCTAGGCAGCTGCGTTCCGTTGGAAGCGTACTGATCAGCGCCCGACACGTGTTGAAACGACCCCATCACATCCATCAAATCCATCACCTAATACCACCCATAGCTGCCTGTGGCTGTGCCAGGCTGGACCTAGGTTACCCTTTGCGATTCAAACCAAAGAAGCATGCAGGTGGCGAAGCTCGAAGAAGGAGGCAACGAAGCAGCTAGGACCAAGTGGCCCGGGCCTTGAAGGATGAGGTGCAAACCTCACGGGACTTGTGGAAACGTCGCAGCAAATTTTGGGGGTATACACCCTCAAAACATGTATATGCCATGATTGGCCCAAGAACAAATCCAGTTGAAATCACTTTAGAACAGATTGCACATGATTGCAACATGTTTGTCAATTTATTTCTCTTTGGTATGTCAACCATCACCCTCCAAGCAGTGTTTGAATCAGCTTCACCCGAGGCTGGATAGATGGCACCAGGACACCTTTCCAGAGCCTGATGGAACAGATCTGGACCGTTTTCCACGGGCTGTGGAAGGGTCGAAGGGCCGCTCCGGACGCCTTGGTCAGATGAACATGACAAAAAATGACGTGTTGCTTCAGCTTTCACACATGCGCTTCGAAGATACCTGTGAATTTCTCTGAAGGAGATCTAATTTGTTGTTCATTAGCTTGTTTGAACCTGATTCAACGGGTGTTTGCAACGCGGTGGTTCTTGCAGACCTGAAGTCCCTGGAGATAGATTCGACACCTACGACACTTTGTCTTATTCAGGGGGGCCGAGCTAGCAGCGGGACCTTCAAGGGGTGTCCTGTTTGGAGATCCCGGATAGTAGTGGGCTGGGGCTTCCATCCAGGTGACCCTGACACAAAAATGCTGGTTGGATCGGCCGGTGGATCGAGCAGGAAGCAGTGCGAGAATTCATTCGGCTTAAATACGTTGAGAAGAAGTGGCCCGGGATCTCGGAGATGTGGAGAGGGTGGGAAGGGAGGATATGGTGGGGTCACCTGTTCCAAGCAGAGAAGCAGCGGGTTTCCTCAATTTTCGAGTGAACATAGTGAAGGTTAACCGTGAACTTGTAGTATATGGTTTGCTGAAAGTAAGCTGACTGGGGATCCCTGGGGATTGCGGACCTCCACGGGGGCAGATGCAGGTGCTCATAACCCGCAACAGGAAATCCGAGATCCACTCCAGTTGCCCTGTGCCCTCTACCAGTCTACCATTAACTCCCACCCGAAATGGAGCAACCAGCGGAAACCAATGGTATTTTCATTTGAGCGACCTCTTTTTAAATATGAAAGGGTTTATCAAAGCCCAGTGGATCCCAGTCACCACTATATAAGGAACCAGGGTTTCTAAGTCTACGTTTTTTGTCCTCCACCTAATAGGGATGGCCTCCAACCTACTAGCGTTAAAAACAACGTTCATTGCAGAGAGCCTGTTTTCAAAGTTAAAAGAACAGTCAAAAACAAGTCAACTTAGAAGTCAGTCTCAAAAGTCAAAGTCAAAAAAAGAGTCAAATCTGAAAGTTTCAGAAAGTCAAACAATGTCAATTGGCCCAGATTTGACTGTGTTCGACTTTTATTTGACATTTGTTTGGCTTTTTTGAGTTGTTTTCTAATTAATGTTGACTTGTTAACTTTGTTTGACTTGTTTTTGCCATTTTCGAGCTGCGATCTATGCTTGACAGTATTTGACGTTGTTTTTTGCATTAATTTTGGCTTTTCAGTTTGACTTGTTTTTGACTTTGACTTTTCCAATTGACTTTTGTTTGGCCTTTTTTTCCGACTGTTATTTGTTAATCGAGGATTCTGGCCTCACCATATGAAAACATGTTTTAAGACTAGCGATCACCTAATAGCAATGGCCTCCAACCTACTAGCGACCATTTGGGCTCCGTCCGACCACTGAGGTACCGCCCGCATGCGCACCCGAAGGCCGCGTCCGCGCCCAAGACGGAGGCGAGGTGACCGAGGTTCCGGTGACGGGGCGGTGACGAGGGTTCCTGAAGACGCTGACGTTTGAGATCATGTTGTTGCATTTTTCTGACTCGAATGATGAATAGACCCTCCATTCATGGGGCGGGGTGATTATGACTCTTGTCTACATGATGTGCGCATAGCATGTGTCACTGAAGCGAAACAGGAACTTATTTCTTTGGAAGAAGGACGCAATAGATTGACACAGAGAAGACGTGATGAAGACCAATTTGGGGCTACACATGACTAATGGGGTTTGAGACAGTGCAGAACTCCTTCACCAATTGCGTCCTCGTTTTGAACTCCTTCTTTCCCCTTTGGAAACTGTGTTGCCCGTTGGCTTCAGCTTCCTGTTCATTGGGAAGCTGTGAAGTACACCCAGTGCGGTTGGAACTCATTTTCTGGCGGGATGCATCTATGTTTCATTTGCAGAACGCAGAAAGCGGGTGAAAGTGGTGTGTGGTTACAATTCCTCACAAATTTATTTGCCCTTATGTGCAAACACGGCGCAACATGGCCAGATACTGAAAGGAACTGCAAGGATTGAGCACAACAGAATACAACGAATACGTACGAATTCCGAATACTTTACTCCTTTGCTTGCAGGCAGCGTCGCAGCCTGCCCCTTTGGCCAGCAATAAGTGAAGACGTTGGAACGTCGGATTCATCGAAGGGAGAAAACGTGGAAGTACTTGATATGTGGATCACATCCACATGCAACTGGCAGGAAGTGAACAAGTGTGTCACATGTTACTGCAGGAGGGGAGTCGTTTATTTTTGTTTTTCTCTTTGTTCTTCAATTCTTGAAACTGTGGGCATAGTCGGCTACCAAGCCCCGACTTTTTGAACATGTGCGAAGCAAAGCGAAGCAATATTTGGCGAATCACTAGCTACCTGCTCTTCAGAGAACTTGGCGAGTCACTAGTTCACTTTGGGCCACCGACTTTGGACACAACTCAGATCCACTCAGCTTCAAAAGGCTCGATACACAGTGAGGAATCCATTGTTTGCAGGCTAACATGGACTGAAAAAGGCTTCCTGGAAGACTGGACCCTGTACAACCCAGTGGTTGTTAGGGTCCAATCTTACGTTGATTTCACTGATGAACCACGTGGATGTTGTGTCAGAACCACGCTCGTCTCTGGCCCAACGGGCCCCCAGGCGGCCACGACTTCGGCAGTTCCCCAGGCGGCCCCAGCGGCACAGGCGGGCGGTCGACTCCAAAATCGTCAATGATTCAATGATGAATCCAGACTTTCTTGTGGGGGGATGCCTCACCCAAAACAGAGCGTTTGAAGATCTTTGAAGATCCGCCACACATGAATAGTGAATATGGTTCATTATGCATGACTGTTTTCTTGGCACAGTTCACAGTTTTATTGGTGTTTACTGCATTTACTGTATATGCATGTATAATTGGATTGCGGTTGCAAATGGCAGGTTTCAGTAAAACAAACTGAAATCATATAATGAAGACATCCGTCATGTGTTTGTCGTCATGTGTTTGTGACCAAGCCGTTGAACATGCTGTAAATGAACATAAGAGGGCGCCCGCGGCCGAAGAAGACCCCCGGGGGTCGGGGGTCGGGAGCATCAGTTGAGGACCGACGTCTACAACCCAGTGGTTGTTGACGCGTTAACCGTGGCAAATGTTCATCAGTGTTCGATGGAGTGCATCGTTGGTCAGTTTTGACCTACCATGAGAAAGCTTTACCTGGTGCGAACTGGAGGTTCAAACGGTGCTGCTGAACATCAAAACACATCGGGTTGGAAATTACAGCTACCCAGAACTTCCAAGGACTCATTTACTCCCACTCTCCACTTGGTAGTCATCCCCCACCAGAAGGGTTTTGTTCGGTGCCAGCCCTATGGGTCCCGCGCGCTCGCGTGGCACGTGGTACCTGGCCACACAACGGCCCCACGCTCGAATCCGACGGACCAGAGGGTAAAAATATCGACAGTCAGCCGAAGAAAGACTTTACACTTGTGCCATCATTTGCCAACCCAGCAAGTCCAAAGGACGGGTTAAACTGGTGCGTTAGCGTAAAGGACGCATTTCACCTCCCAACTTTCAAGACATAATTTTCACATGTATTTCACGGCCTTTCACCCTGTTTTCACGGGTTTTTCACGTCCTTTTCACGGTTTTATCACGGCCTTTTCAAGCTTCCAGCTCCCGTTTTGCTAAAGCACCGGTTAAACCGGTGCGTTACTAAAGAACTGGTTAAACTGGTGCGTTGACCCACTGGGCAATGTTTTGACAGGTTTTTGGCAATTTGACAGGCGGACCGACGTGGCCCAGCGCTTATAAAGGACACCCTCTCAGGAAGACGCCGGCCCCGCTCCGCTCACGCTCACGTTCATCGGCCTAGACCGGGGTCGGCGAAGTGAACTCATCGGTCAGCACAGGCGAACACGCACTATGCTCTGACATTTTTGAAGGATTGTGGATTGCGTCTTTCTTCAAGAGCTCCCTTCAGAAGAGTTATTTTGGCTACAGTGTATGTAGACCCTCTAGGCATGTGGGCATGTAGAACAAGTATGACGTGGCCTAGTGTAGGGACATGGACAACCTCACAAGGAAAAGCGAGCAGCTAATTTTGATAGCACCGTTCTTTGCCCGGGTGCTTGATCAACATCGTTCCTTCTTACTCTTTGGTGCTTATCCCAGCGAAACGCTTGGTGTGAAAAACATCGACACCAACAATCGTCAGTGAGACTTGTGCCAAGACTTCTGACCCAGGTGTTTTCAAATCTCAGTCTAGAATACATCCCAAATGGACTCGGACCTCAAAATTTTCGTCATCAAAGCAGCGGATTAAAGCAAAAACAACTTGAAAAACCGACGCTGACATGTCTTGGAAACACTGCTTGTTCTCTCCGCTTTCGGCACGAACTTCAAATTAACGCAGCCCTCAGAACACCTATTCGCTACTCAATAATAATCGTTCCCTGTCGCTTCCATCCCGCGCCCCATTCCCAGCGAGGCCCCCTCGCTGGACCTCCTATCCGGCGGCGACGCCGAGCCCACAACGCCCGCGCCGGCGGCGATGCCGGCGCCGACCGCCCCTGCCGTGGCGGCACCGGTGGCGCCGCCCCCAGCGGCCAACACGGCGCAGGTGGGCCATGCCGAACAGCTTGGCTACTGTCTTTTTCCAACGTGTCAAGATGCATGAAGGCTTAGGAAGTTTCGGGTTTCGACTTAGCTTCTTGAAGTTCAATGTAAACTCCCCAAGGCCACTTGTACCAGTGGGATGGTAACATCATAGCTATATATGTTGTGGCTGTATGCATGTGCATGTGTTTATAATAGTATGTTTGTGTAGGTAATGTGCGTAATGCATGTAAAGAATGATGTTTGCAATGTAATGTAATGTAAGGTTATGTAATATACTAATGTATTAATGTATATTTGTATGTATGTATGTGTGAAGGTAGGCATGTATTTATGTATGGATTAATGTATGTATGTATGTATTTATGTATGCATATGTTTATGTATGTATGCATGTCCTGTACTGTTTTGTACTGTAATGTATTGTCATGTAATGTTCATATCTAGGTATGTATGCATTTAAGTTTTGCACTCTATGTATGTAATGTATGTAGTGTATGTTATGTTGTGTTATGTTATGTTATGCTATGTTATGAATGTATGTATGTTTGTGTGTTATGTATAGTATGGTATGGTATGAAATGGTACGGTATGTAATGTAATGTAATGTACTGTGTAAAACGTGATGTGTGATGTGTAATGTAATGTAATGGTATGTAAGTCTGTATGTACGTATGTATCTATGCATGTATGTGCTATACTGTACTGTACTGCTTTGCTGTACTGTAGTGTGCTGTAGTGCAATGAAGTGCATGTATGTGGGTAGCTATGTTCGTATGTATCTATTTTTGTTATGTTTGTATGTAATGTAGCGCACTGCAAATGGAATGCAATGCAATGTCATGTAAGTATGTGTTTTTTTTGTGTGGGTATGCAGGTAGGCATGTATGTAGGCATGTATTTATGTATCTATGTATGTATGTATGAATGATTTTATGTATGTATGTATGTTTGTATGAATGAATGAATGAATGAATGCAAGCGTGTATGCGTGTATGTATGAATGTAATGTGGTGTAATGTATTGAATTGCGCTAATGTAAAGCGTATGTAGTGGTTTGAATCGGTATGTTATGTTATGTTTTTGTGGTATGGTTTGGTTTGGTATTGTGTTGTTTGTATTGTAATGTAATGCAAGTGTATGGTACGGTATGGTACGCAGGTAAGTTGGCAGGAAAACTGGTAGGAGTGCATGTGTCACAAGGCCCTGGGGCAGTGGGGTTTGGATCTCAACATACTGTCATACCATCCCTGGGCACCTCCGAGCCTTGCAGGTGCCAGACCTGCTGGACGGAGGTGGTGCGCAGGTGACAGAGGCGGCGAAGGGTGACGATGCCATGGCATGGTAGTCAGCAGAAACGAAAATATGGATGAATTTTGTATAATTTTGTATAAACCATGGTTTAAGGTGAGTTCAATGATTCAATCCATGGTTTGTATGCATATGAACATGTTAGGAACCTGGATAATGTGGGCAGATAAATGGTTTTTCTGGTCAGACGTTTCATTCCAACTGGCCCAACACTAACTCTCCGGCGCTCAGCTACTGAAGTGCAGAAACCAGGTTTTGATTCCAGAATTTGCGGTAGTGCCGCGTCAAGGACTCATGGCGTAGCAGCTGGAGCTGTTGATATGTTCGCCGAAACATCATCAAGTAGGTTCCAAACAACTCCTTGAAACAAGTCCAGAAAGCGTGCAGCACTAGGACACTGGGATGTTCCAGTGATGTTTTCAGCCAAAGTCTTCGACATGTCGACCCTCCTCTTGGTTCTACACCTGGGGTGTTGCTACATCGGAGCTGGCCTCTGCCCGAACTTCGTCAGGAGCCCTGGACTGCCGACTTCGGGACACCGGTGAAGGTGGCGGAGCGTTGCGAACGGGGCGGGCGACTGGGAGGCAAGGTGGAGGTCCAGGATTCGGGGGAGTTGAGCCTCAAGACCTAATTATGTCTAACTACCTTCTGAGTTTTTTGTGGTTGGAGTCCTAGGGGTTTTGCGGAAGAAGACCACTCGCGTGCCTTTCCAGGTGGCGCACATGGCCTTTAGCAAAGACGGCATTGATTGCTCAGCTCAGAAAGCCCCAGCGGACTTTAGCAACTAGGAGCAAGGACGCTAGTAGGGGCTCCTGGCCATACTACTGGGAGCAAGGATGCTACTAGGAGCAAAGGGCATCGCTACTGGGAGCAAGGACGCTACTAGGAGCAAAGGGCTTTTGAAACCATTCAATGATATCGGTCGAGTTGATCTACTCGAAAGCATCCAAAAAGGACCTTCGTGACAGACCGGTTTTCGAGCAAATCCGAAGTCCCATTCCCTTCAAATTTCTAGCCACCTCAGGTGTGCACCCTGCCAACTGAGACGCCGATGGAAGCGGAACAAGATCAGGATCGCCTTAACCACGCACCTCCCCCAGCCCCGCACCTGCCGAATCCTGCCATCCTCGCGCCAGGCGCCCGACAGCCTCGCAGGGCTCATCGATTTGGAGTTCAGTGGCAGCGGCTGCAGGGCAGTGGGGGGGGTTCCGATGCTGGCCACGTTCACAAGCATTGAGACAAAAAGCGCAAAAAGGAATTTCATGTTGTTTCATGATGTTTCATGTTTTTTCCTACACATGTTTCTGCTTGCAATGTAGACTAGCTCTTGAGTTAATGAATGAAAGATCAATTTATTCGGAAGAGGTACACTTTAGAATCCAAATGGGGAGGTGTTTGATCAAGAGTCGCATACATGAGTTGTCGCCCCAATGAAGTTCAATGGATCCTGCAAGTAGATCGCTCATGTCTCCCCATACATTCAGCTGTGATTCTTCAGCCTCCGAGCCTCCAAGCCTCAGATATCGATCCCAAGGAATCCCAAGTTTGGTCAGTAAGTTTTTTGTGCTTGTCAATCTCATGACTCATGACCTTTCCTTCCTTTCCAACTGCCGCAAACTGGAGCCTCCATTCAACCAGATGGATCTATGGTTCAGACCATCCATGTATGGCCTATATACCTGATAGAACATAGCGGTTTCAGGGGTCTATGTATGCATGTATATTCCAGAATTACATTGCTTTGGGTAATCATATGCTCATCCTCTAATTTGGTGCTCAATCCATCATGCCAACGCTGTATCTAGTAGCTGTGGCGCGTTCATTCTGGGGATGGCTAGCTATAGTGGCTACATTGGCTACATGTTTCTACCATGTTGTAACACAGAGTTTGAAGGGTGGACTAGCTGTGCTTAGCTGCACCCAAGCCATGCTGCCAGCCGATTTGGATTAGTGTTGATTTCATCACGTCACGATGGAATAACGTCGATCGAAATGACATGCGCTTCCGGTCGAAACGAATGCAGGTATGATAGAAAAATTCCTCGAAGATGCCCGATTCTCATGTTGAGGTTGGTTTTGTTCAATCAACTGTTGTTTGTTCCTTTTGCTTGGAGCCATGGCTTGAGCCAACTCGCTAGCCTTCCTTCACCTGCCTTGAACAAAAGGCTTTGACCAATCTCCACCAGCTTCGCTTTGAAGGTTCTCCTCCAAAGGCTGCAGCTCCCAAGCCCGAGGAGGAACGATACGCGCCTCGCGGTGCTGCGGCTGCCCAGAGGGGATAGACACGAGAAATTCCCCCCTGACGTTGGATCAAAATCCCTGTGCACTGCTATCGGCAGCTGCTGCCTCCTTTCATTTTGTGGTAAATTTCTTGGACATGAGGATGTGGCGGCCGGCCCATTCTCATTTCTATATTGCAGAGTTCGTGACTTCATGTTGAAGTGTGCTCATCCCGCCGGCCAAACGGTATATTGTAATTGTGTAGAGAAGTGCAGCTCCAAAGGAGAACCTGCAGAAAGTAGATGCGGAGCAAAGCACACAGAACATCTACTGGAACATACTGGAAAGTTATGTTTGACTGGCCTAAGCGCCTCCCCTTGATTTGTATCAAAGACCCAATCCAATTTCTAGGTCCTACACCTATAGTCAGATAACTGCAGGTGTGGTCTCCTGCCAGAGTTATTCTTTTGATTGGCTGAGTCTTCTCAATATAGTAAAAATCCAGAAGACGAAGACGCTGTACCTCAGTAGGCCCTCAGTTGGCCAAAGTGGTTGGAGGAGGCGCCCCTTGTTTAAGACATGCGATATTCCATCCAGTTTCAACCGCCGATGTGGTAATCGGGAGACATGGGAGATCTCCAATTAAAACTAATCGATGAAAGAGACCATATACACTTCAGCTGCATTCGGACGCTGCATTCGGACGAATTTTGCAGGAGACCATGTACCTTCCTTTGCCTAGTTGCCCAAAAGAACGAACCTAGTTGCCACGGGCTGATGTTTGGATCTCCGATGTATGGTCCAGCTTGCTGGACGAACCGACCTCCCGGTCACCAGCAACAACGAGCCTAGTGGGAGGCTCAAGCGAGCCTAGTGCTGCAGCTTTAGAGCTGGAAGCAACTTTGGAAGTCAATGTGTGGAAAAAACAAGATGATAGATGAACCCAGTGACTCGGGCCAGAAACTAGTGGACTTGACATCTTACAACTGCAAGATGTCATTAGTGATGTCAATTGAGAGCTTCAGAGCAACCAATAGGAGGAGCTTTGGGGAGCTCCCATGGCAATTTCAAGTCTGAACACAAAAAAGAGTTGCTTTGCAATGCCTTGCATTGACTTGCCACATGCACGTGACATAAATATGACTCCCTTCAACTTCCTACTCTCATTCACTTTGAAGTGTACAAACCTTTTGCGAGTGCCAAGTCAGGACCGCCAGCGGCACCAATATGGGGGCACCAAAGATGCACCAAAGAGTCACAAAGAGAACCAAGACACCTGGGGTTGACACTCCGACTTTTCGTTTTAAGTCTTCCACTTCTGACACTTCTCCCACTCAACCTGTTTGGTTTCGGCGCCTTACCAGTCCGGAGGGCCCCGGACCGAACCGGACCTTCCCCCGCGGCGCCATGCGCCCTTGAGCGGCCGCGGCCGCGGTCGCTTGAAGCGATGCATCCCGATGGCTCGGACACTGATCTCCAAGCTCCTTGGTGAAGCGAGCCATGGGCGTGTCTGGAGCCATGGAGAGTGGATATGAACAAACAACACACACTGAACACCTCGAGAGGAACACCAATACTGATATGAACATGGGATTGGTTTGAAGGAAAGAATCCAAAAAGGAACACCACGGACCACGGTGTTCTTTTTTTTCCCGAAAGCATTGCGAAGGGTTCTTCCGGAAAATCCTTTGAACACTGACACTTCGACACTCACACTTACACACACACACACTGGAAGAGCGAAAGCATCCAAGTGCGAAGTATGCCAGTGTCAAAGTATGCAAGTGTAAGTATGCAAGCATGATATGCAAGGGTGAGTATGCAAGCATGCAATGACTATGCAAGCATGCAATGAGTAGGCAAGTGTGAGTATGGAAAACTAGCACGGGAGATGTCCTAATGAAAAAACATTTCCCCACTTTATAAATTCTCTCTTAAAGGCGGAGTGCGGGACGAACAGCGTCAACCGAAAGTGCAACCCTCTGCGGAGATCGTGCGTGTCGAGTGCGCGAAATGCAGGTGAGAGTGCGATTTGCCGGCTGCGCGCGCAACCCTCTGCGGAGATCGTGCGTGTCAAGTGCGCGAAATGCAGGCGAGAGTGCGATGTGCCGGGTGCCCGCGCAACCCTCTGCGGAGATCGTGCGTGTCGAGTGCGCGAAATGCAGGCGAGAGTGCGATTTGTCCGGTCCGCGCGCAACCCTCTGCGGAGATCGTGCGCGTCGAGTGCGCGA